TGTGTCGGGTTTTGCAGTCTTGGGCGACTGTGTGGTCTACAAGGAGTTGGAGTTTGGCTCCTCCGCTATTTATGCCGATGCCCTTCTGTGCCGTGCTCATGTATTTATCCATGTGCCCGCTTATCTTAGCCGCTATGATGCCTGACATGAGCTTCCATGTTGTAGAGAGACAGGTTATCGGCCGATAGTTGGATGGGACTGAACCCTTTGAGGGATCCTTCTGGATCAGGATTGTGCGCCCTTCAGTTAACCATTCAGGGTGAGTCCCATTCTGTAGCAGCTGGTTCAGTTGAGCTGCCAGTCTGCCAGTGAGTTTCTTTAGCCAGTAGGCATGGATCATGTCAGGCCCTGGTGCTTTTTCATACCCGAGACTCTTTCTTGGACATCTGCCACAGTGATGGTTACTGGGGCTTGTTCAGGGAGGTTGCTGTGGTCCTCTCGTAGAGAGGTTACCCACTGTGCATTGCTGTTGTTCCCATATCCCTCCGCCGTATTTCCTGCGCCGCAGCGGCCAATGCGGGGTCTACTCTTATATTATGTCTATGACCGGGACTGTAGCGTTCTGGGGTCCTTCAGCTCCCGCCACGAGAATTTTGCTGACCTCAATGTTTCCTGTTTTATTTTGGCCATTATTGTTAAACTTAGTGTTGATGTGTGTATGATAGGCATGTCTATCGGACAGTTATGTATCGGTTCAACCCTATTCAGGGGTGCTGAGATACACCACTAGAATCGGCACTGGTTTCTATTGCCTTTTTTATATTGATATTGATTAAATACAAGGGTTTCTTTCATTATTTCTTGGAAGGATGGCAATTCTAGACTTTTCCAAAATTGGGGGGTGGGGGGTCCAAACCCCCCCCCAAACCTCCGAAGATTTACGCCTATGTCCACCAGTGAAACCAGTCCCTGAACTGGGATTAACCAGCAGACGTTAGAGTCCCGCCCCTCCCAGCCTGCTGCTGCTCTGATTGGTCGTCATCTGGTCGCACTGCCATCTTCAGTCAATAGAAAACTGGATCAATGTTGCCCCTAAAAAATTATTTCTTGATTGAGAAGTTTTTAAAAGTTTAATTTTTCAGCGTTTCTGTATAAAAGGCGCTGATATTTCTGTATTTTATTTTGTAATATTGGTTTAGAGACTGTCGTAGGAAGTGAGGCTAGGACAGCTAAGCCTGAGTTTAGTACTGCACTCACTGCACCCATAGACCGCTCTTGAGAGTACTCTACTTCCGAGTCAGTTCGCTGCATTTTTCTGCATGTGAGACCACATTCCTGGTGTAGTCTTGAGAAGTGATGCTCCGAGTGTTAAGTTGATGACAGAAAGTAAGTTATCGCATTTAGCGTTCTGTTTGTTTATTCTAGATTCAGTTTATTATATGATTATATAAACTACGGGATATTGTGGGCTCTCTGAGCGCTGGGAACTCAGTTGAGCCTGCTCAGCCTTTGTAGATTTACCTTAAAACCCATTATTTCTAACTGCATTTCGGCTGCATCTGATATTGCTTCCCATCGAGTTATTAGGGCAGACATAGTAATTAAGTGCATGCGCTGCCAGCTGCCGCCATTGTGTAGGGATTTTATCTGGCCACATGACGGCGCCAAAGTGCTTCTTATGTTAAATTCAGCCAAAAGATTGTCTGTTTGTGGGCTTTCACTGAGTTTGTATTAGTTGAACCTCTATTGCTGTAATACATAGGCCTAATGGCAATTTATTTGTTATTGCAGACTGCTGGCAGCACTGAGTATCAAGGCAAATAAACCAGCTCACATCTACAGCAGGTTTTGGTCTCATGTCCTCCTTCCTGTATCCTGACCGATACACCATCTTGTTTGCTGCAAATACCTAAGAACCTAACCTAAATGAACAGTTTCAGTTTTTGAAACGCGATCTTTGCTTACTGAAATATTGGATGGAATTTCTCTCCATAGAAATGGATCAGAACAAACTGATTTGTAGATCTACCAGGGGCTTACTTGGACTACAACATCCAGGCTTTGCTGCTCTCCACTCACACGGAACCAAAGCGCCACCTTGTGGTCTGTCAGGCGAAAGTGGCTCTGAGTTAAGACACTGTCCTCAAATGCGGAGGATGGAGTCTGACCAGATGGCGACTAGATCTCACGTCTCCATGTGTCCCTCGTGTCTTCATATGAACCAGACAATCAATATGAGGCATTCAGGTTTGACACAACCAGCAGGAGGCACTGCTACACTCAAAGCGTGGGATTTCTGTCAGTCTTCCAGCGTTCATTTGCCACGCACGCACACACAAATACACAAACACACACACACACACACACACACACACACACACAGTGTTCAGCCTGGTACAACAGTCAACAACTTAACAAAAGCTCTGTTGTGTATCAGACCCACATCACTGTTGTCCTGAGTCTGACAGCAGCACCAGGACTCTGCTGGTGAATCACAACCACCAGAACCATTGGGACCATCAGAGCCACCAGAACCATCAAAACCTGGATCCAGCATGGATTCGAAGCGGATCTCTTCAGCCTCTCAGCAGCAGGTCCGACTCAGACAAAAGGTCAAGTATTGAGGACAGATCTCTATTTAACTGTTATGTGGGTCTGCTTACTGCTGGTTCTATTGGGTTCTGTAGAGTTCTGTTGGGTTTCGCAGAGGGAATCGGTTCCTCTACTGAGTTTGAAGTCTGAAGGTTTAGCAGAAGCATAGAAGCTGGTTCTGTCAGAACAGAAGTCAGACCAGATAAACAGTTCTGGGCAGACCCAGTCCAGGGGAACTCCTGATCTAAACTAAGCTGACTGAATCGTCCGGGTCTTCTGCTATTCTTGAGATTTCTGATTTCTCAGACGACTGTTGAAGTTTTCTGTAGGACTCTGTCTGAAACAACTGACCAACCGACTGACTGACCAGCTGACCAACCAACCAACCAGTATTGCCATTTAGTTTATCATAACTGCCATAAATGTACTTTATGGCAGTTATTATATGATGGAATTATATGTAAAGCAAGCTTATAAAAGGTTATTTAACAGTTTGTTTACAACTCACTTACAAAATGCTTTAACATCATTTATTTTTAGTTTAATGTTGATTTATAGCTAAACTAGTTTACAATTTACCTAAAATTAATTTGAAGTTATTCTAGAGTTACCCTAAAGTTAGCTTTAGCTTAAATTAGCATACAGCTAGCTGGATACCTCAAGTTTGTTTAAAGTTAGACTAGTTATTGAAAGTTAGCTCAAAGTTAAGATGTAAGTTTAAGGGCCATTGTGTAGTGCAGCAACCGCTACACATGGTGAGCTACAGCCCTCTATGGAGCCGTCCTGGGTTTGATTCCCACCTTGAGACCTTTGCTGCCCATTTCCTGTCTGGTAACTACAAATCAAGGCTGCTAGATCCATAAAGGTTTAAGTTCAAAGTTGTTTTACTGTTTGTTTAGTAAGTTATATCGAGGACAGAGACTGACGGAATAAAAAAAAATCTGTAAGCTTACAGCTAGCTGCAAGCTAGCTTACAGTTAGTTGATAGTCTTTGAAATAGATTAAAATTAGCTTGAAGATAGCTTAGCTTTAAGTTAGTTTAAAATCAACTTAGACATAGTTTACAGTAATTCCTTCTTTATTGGTTTTGGTTCTAAATTGCTTGGTGGAGCAGTCTGGTCTGTTTTGAAGATCTGATTTGAAGGTAACAAACTGAAGTTGGTCCAATCTTGAGTGAATCTCCTGAGATCTAAGATCAGTAGATTAGTTTCCTTTACTCAGTTAGCTACCAAGCCGTGTATAATTTTTCCTGAGTTCAGTGAATGCCTCTCAGCAGCTGATATTTGTGTCAAATTATCTGTCTGAGGTTCTCCTTACAGCTGCTTCAAACACTGTCCTTAGTTACTGCTGTGTGTGTGTGTGTGTGTGTGTGTGTGTGTGTGTGTGTGTGTGTGTGTGTGTGTGTGTGTGTATGTGGTATGTACAGTGTGTGGTGCCTGGTGGAGGCCTTGAACAGTGAGCTCTGTGTTGATGAAGTAAAACAAAGACGTGACTTCTTTAAACGCTGCAGCAGTTCTCACAGTCACTCAAAGCTGCATCTCTGGCTCCTGTTCTGTGTTCTGGACCCGGCAGGTTGGCCCGGTCCGTCTGCGGCAGCACCAGGTGGGATCAGGCCCCAGTGGTCTGTGTGTCTAAATCTGATCTGTAGGTCATTTAGCATGTCATCAAAACATTTCACATGCAGATAGAAGAACCTACCTTGGCTCAGATGTTCCCAGGAGCTGCCTTTTTAAAAAGGTAACAAGAGGCAGATTCATGTGACACACTTTCATCTCACTCATGGTCCCACAGGGGAAACAAAAGCATGCCGCTAAGCATCCTGGGAAAAAACAATAGAAAGTCCACTCCAACTATCTGCTACATTACTACTTTAAAGTTCATTCAAGTTATTAAAATGGGAAACATTTTATGGCAATGATTAGTTTAAAATAATGTCTTGAAAAATGACCATCGTCCTGGGAAATATCAATCAATCAAGTTTATTTTGAGTAGCACAATTTAGATTCAAGGCAGTTCAAACAGCTTTACTTCATAAACACAAAAATAAAAAATCATGAGTCAACACAGAGTTGACAGCTGAGAAACCAGTGACAACTATTACATGCTGATCAGAGCCATCATCAACATCATCAATACACACCAGACATATTCATCAATGTTCCATTTATTGTGGTTCAAGAACTGACCAGCTGGGTTTTAGTCTGGGTTTAAAGGAACTCAGGGTTTTGGCTTTTTTCCAGTTTTCTGGAAGTTTGTTCCAGATTTGTGGTGGATAGAAGTCGAATGCTGCTTCTCCATGAACAACAGCAGATCTGTAGTGGATTAAAGATCAAGAAAACAAACGGCCTGAGGGATTAATATGGAAATGTTTATGCTTGTATCCACACTTGAATAATTTTTACAGTAAATGCTAATCTATCAGGATATTTATGCTGCAGGGTTCAGAGACAGCCGGTCTCCTCTGCCAGAGGCTCAGGTGTTAGTCCTGAACAGGTTTCATTTCTGGTGGGTTTGAAGGAAGCTGGGACAGTTTGGACAGGTGGACCGGTGGGTCCTGCAGGGCGCCTGGGTTCGGATAGTCGGTTCTCTTTGACCGTCAGAAAAGAACCAGGAGGTTCTGGACTCCACCGGTTCGACGAAAACAGCGCCACCCTGCAGTTACTGTCCGCTCAGTGGTCACAGCAGGTACTGCAGCTGCAGCGCCGCTCCGCACGGCCGCTCACTGCGCACGCGCAATGAGATGAATGGCCGCTGCACCTGTCAGTCCACCAGGATGTGTGGCGGACAAATCCTCGGCCGTTAATCCAAGCTCGGTTCGGTCATCGGAGGAGGCTCCCACCGTGGCATGCTGAGCGGACCGGAGCGCTCCGTCTGACCGTCCGGACTCAGCCTCCCCCGGGGCCGCCCGCCTCCTCACCCCGCCTGCAGAGCCTCAGACCCCCGCTGCTGCCGAGCTGAGGCTGCGTGAAGCTCCGTGAAGCTCCGGGCGCGTCCATCCTGACTGCAATGGGATGCTGCGGGAGCGCGGAGGTAAGCAGGCCCGGTCCGGTCCGGTTCGGTCCGGTGTGTGTTCTACTTTGTGGGCTGACACTGTAACGGGATGGAGACTGGTTCTGGAGCAGAAAGGCCCGATCTGAGCTGGGATTACGGCCAGCAGCTCCTTAATCCAATTACAGCATTTCGGTTACCGAGCCGTTACCGGGCCGCTGCTGGTCAACAACAGGGCCAACCGAACCCCAGCAGGGTTCGGGTTAATGGAGGAACCGAGCTGGATGGGCCCGGCCCGGCCCGGTCCCCCAGACCCCGCTCAGCGCTCACTGTGACCGTGTTTGTGTCTGTTTTAGCGGACAAAGAGAGAATGGAGACCGCTGGAGGACCGGAGCTGCACCGACCTGCCCTGGTTCCTGCTCTTCACCGTCTTCTGCGTCGGCATGGTAACCACAGACAGACCATAATACCACCGATTGAATACAGCCGCGATCAGTACCGTTGCTGTAATACCGCTGTGATACAGCAGAGCCAACCATACAGATGCTGCAAACAGCATCACCACCACAGTACTACAGAGTACTGTAGTACTCTAAATACTTCTGCAGTACTGCAGCTTTTCTATAACATGACTATAACAATCCAGTGGTACTATAACTACTATAAAACTACTTTAATACATGAACAGTAGGTGTGTACAGTGTGTTGATAATTCAGGCTGTAGTACCTCATTTACCTGTTCACATGGAGGAAGAACTTCAGGTAGATCTGTGGGTAGAAATGAGCGACACCTCCAGGTGTATTTATATAAAAACATCTTCATTCTGCAGGATGTGCTGCAACAGAAATGTATTTCTGTCTCCGACCCTCCTGAACTGACCCTGATGCTTCCTCAGTAACATTAATGATCCAAATCCATCTCAGTTTTTGTCACCAGCAGACTGTTTATCTGAATATCAACATCAGGTGACCCCCAAACACCTTCCTGACGTCCTTCATGGGCAGGACTGATGCTGCATTCAGGGACAGCAGAGAGCGCAGGTTTCTGCTGATAGGGTTTTTTACACCTGAACCAGAATCTGTATTTATGACATTCATTCCCCACAGTGGAACCGAAGGTCCAATCTGTCATGGAGATGCAGTCTGCTACACACCACAGCAGAACTTTACAGCATCCACATGGTTTCTGATTGGCTCACAGCTCCTCCCACTGAGCTCTGATTGGCTGGAGGTTTGACCTAGATGATTACAGTCAGTGTTGATGTTTGGTTGGGGTCCATCAGATGGAGTGATGGAGTAATATGATGAGGTTCTGATAAAGTTCTGATGAGGTTCTGATGGTGTTCTGCAGGGCAGCATCTGTGGCTTCACCATCGCCACTGGCGGCGCCGCTCGCCTCATCTTCGGCTACGACAGCTACGGCAACACCTGCGGCCGGCGTAACGAGCGGATCGAAGGCGTGCAGCTGAGCGGGCTGGACCACACCGACAGGAAGTGAGTGTTCACTGAGCGGAACCAGAACCAGGAGTTCTGGACAGTCCGAGGTGCCATTGATTCTGTTATGATCCAACATTCTGCTCAGTTCCCTGAAGGTCCAACCAAACTTTGACTAGACCAAACAATCACTGCTCACAACTGCCGACGGCTCTGATCTGCTGAGTCTGGTTCTGTCTATCCTGGTTCAGTCCATCCTGGTTCTGTTCATCCTGGTTCTGTCCATCCTGGTTCTTACTATCCTGGTTCAGTCCATCCTGGTTCTGTCCATCCTGGTTCTGTCCATCCTGGTTCTGTTCCATTACTCCTAGCTGCGGTATTCAGGCGATGAGACTTTCAACACCCTAATCAAGACACTCAGCTAAGAGCATGAGTGCTAACCTCAGTCTGGCGGCCATCTTGTTTCTAAACAAGAGGTTTTCTCTTTCAGCCGTTCCAAGCTGCCATCTTGGTTCAGGGTCACGACCTTTGACCTTTACCCTATTAACTGAGGCCTGCAGAGTCTGAGCTGGAGCTCTGGGGTTTCTGATCATTTCTTTGACCTCTGACCTTGACGTCTGAGATGTTCTCCAGTGAGCAGAACTTTCTGTTGCTCTGCAGCCGACTGCAGAGTTTCATTGTTCCTCAGTACTGTGTAATCCTACAGTAATACTACAGTAATACAGTAGCAGTGCTATAGTTTTAGGATGGTGACTTATTGTGTAATCTGGACCTGTAAGGCTACATAGTAATAAAGTAAAAAAGTAGTACTACAGTATTATAACATTGCTGTAGTATTACTGGAGTAGTATAACTGTAATACTGTGATATTACTGTAGTGTTACCATAGTATTTCTGTGATACTGTAGTATTACTTCAGCTCTGTGACAATAGCTTCAGTGTTGTGGCTCCTTCTGGCACTTGAACACATGGTGCATTCAAGGTCCTGTGGGAGAGTTTTATGCTGACAGATGGTGAAAGCTGTGACTCATCAGCAGAGCTGCTTACACACACACACACACACACACACACACACACACACACACAGAGCCTATTTTTACCTGCAGCTCCACCTGCAGGAGGCCGATCAGCTCAGGCCGACTTCCTGAGACATTCAGGATGATGGATCCGTTGGACAGACGCAGCAGAAACAGACTGAGGACTGAAAGGACGACTGAGGTCCAGTTCTGCACCGGGTCGCTATGGTTCTGTCTGGTTCTGGTTATCACACTCAGTTTTCCATTTCTTTCGATTTCTTTTTCTCTTTGTCTCCATGTCCCATTGGTCCCACGTCCACATTCTACTGGTTGTGTTGGTTCTGGTCCAACTGGTCATAGAGGGTCACCTGTAGGGCGGTGGTTCTCGCCTGACTCTCTGCTGCCCCCTGCAGGTTCGTCTTCTTCCTGGATCCCTGCAACATCGACATCGTCCAGAGGAAAATCAAGTCGATGGCTCTGTGTGTGTCCCTGTGCCCCCCCGAGGAGCTGAAGACCCACCAGGACCTGAAGAGGTTCGCCATGACCAATGGTGAGCTAACCCATGGCCACGCCCACCTGGCCACGCCCACCTGGGCCTCACCTTAAGCTGCAGCAGCTTCCTGTTCAGCAGGAACTGATCCTGGCTCAGTGTTTCCATGAGCTGCAGTATGTCTGGAGCACATCTCCTCAGTGCTGGAGGAGATGATGATGATGGCGATGAAGATGATGATGATGTGATGAAGATGAGCTTGTCCTCCATGTTTGCAGGTTCAGAGCTCTGCTCCTATGAGTTGCCGGCTCATCGTTACCCGGCGCTACCAGAGCGATTCTCCAGGTGTCCCAAGCTTCCCGTCCCCCGCAGGTAGGGGGCACTTTCCGCTATCTGCCCCTGATCTCTAACCTCTGACCCCTGACCTCTGACCTGTCTGTCCCAGCAAGCCGCTACCGCTCTTCAACCGCTGCACGCCGGTGGACGTGTCATGCTACGCCCGGTTCGCCGAGGCGGTGGTGACCTTCGTGGGCGACAGCAGCGTCCTGCATCGCCTCATCGCCGGTGTCGCCGCCAGCAAAGAGATCATCGTCGGACTCTGTGTCCTCGCCTTAGGTAAGCACCGGCGGCCATGATGTCACTTCCGCCTTGCTGTGACGTCAGTTCCTGTAGCCTGACCGCTGTGCCCTGTCCTCCAGCGCTGTCCATGGTCCTGATGGTGATTATCCGCTACATCTCGGCCGTGCTGGTCTGGATCCTCACCTCGCTGGTGGTGCTGGGCTCCCTGGGTGAGGTCACTTCCTGTGTGCTGTGGGACAGGTGAGGTCACTTCCTGTGTGATGCTGTGTTTGTGTCTCAGCGGGAACCAGCGTCCTCTGGTGGCTCTACATTGACCACCGGCTGTACGCCAACGACACGTCCTCCAAGGACCCCACGGAGGCCAAACAGGAGGCACCGGAGGGGCAGCGGGACGGCGGCCAGGCGCTGCTGGTCTACGCTGCCGCCGCCACCATCTTCACCGTACGTACCGAACCAGAACCAGAAAATGCAGAGCCAGTGCTTTAGCTCTGAATGTGTATGTGTGTGTGTGTGTGTGTGTGTGTGTGTGTGTGTACAGATCATCCTGCTGCTGCTGATGCTCTTCATGCGGAAGCGCGTGGCGCTCACCATCGCTCTGTTCCACGTCGCAGGAAAAGTCTTCATCCACCTGCCGCTGCTCACCCTGCAGCCCTTCATCACCTTCCTAGCCCTGCTCCTCTTCTGGGTCTACTGGATCCTGGTTCTGCTCTTCCTGGGAACCACCGGTTGGACCACACACACTCACGCACACAAATGCACACACACTTAATTTCTTTAACCTAACCCTAAATTTTCCTTAAACCTCAAGTTTATAGCTAATCCTACCT